GCAATATTCCAGCAATATCACAGCGGGGGACACAGAAACGGGCTTCACTCATTGTACCCATGTGGAGAATCGAACCCGGGTCTTCAGCGCGACGAGCCGACGCCTTAACCACTAGGCTACCCCATCGCCCCAAGCGACTAAAGTTATGTCTGGTCTGACATACCCATTGTGGGGTAATTAATTGTAATGTTTGTGTCTGTACCGGACGTAAACATACCAAAATGAACTCAGTGGAACAAAAACTGTTTTATTGATCACAGTAAACGTTTTATCTGAGACAGATTGGTATCGTTGTCAAATACAAATCGTTCAGACAGCGATCAAATCGCTCAGACAGAGATCAAATCGTTCAGACAGAGATCAAATCGTTCAGACAGAGACTCACTTCATAGGTGAGTTTGGTTAAGGCCACTTTAAGCAGAATATCAATCACTTCACTATTTTTCCTGGTTTCATCAAAGTAATAAACATCAATGATAACTTCAGGTTTTTCTCGAACTAATAAATACCTTACCTACATAAGAAAAAACAAAACAATTAAATAGTTTGGCCGCAGTCACGTGACAAAAGTGGACTGACTTGGACTGGTTGTTAACTACAGTGGTCGGTCCGACTAAGATCCCTCGATTATATCCCCGGTAGTGACACCACACCCAACCCAATACTCCCGACAACAATGACCATTTGTTTTGCAACTGAAATGATGTTCAGAGGCATTGAACCAAATTCCCTCACACTAGTTCCGACAGATCAACTAACCATTGTCTGAATAGGAGCAATGGACAAGGGTGTGATAAGGACACCTGTATTGGACAACGGATCTATATATGTTACAGCCAATGGTTACAATCAGGCAATGTGTACAATGACTGAAATAACCAGTCAATGTGTACATTGTCTAAAATATCCAGGCATTGTGTACATTGCCTGATTAATTAACCCAAATATTGTACAGATTGACTGATTGTTGAACAGGGATTATTGAGAAGACAAGATTAGCATGGGTTCCGTTCTGTGATCACTGAGGCTTGGTGTAATAAAGTAATGTTTATAGTTTAGATTCATCCAACTTTCCTTAAAGCAAAGGTTTCCCTTGTAATGATGCTTCCTAAGAGCAACGTTGCAGAGAACGTATATTTTTCCAAAATAGTTTCGGGCTGTTTAGGGAGTTATTAAGTCGCTCAAGTCTTGACGATTGGATATCATATTTGAACTTTCTGCAAGAAGATTTATAAATGTTTCTAAGTCTGCAGTAACCTTTACGATTATATTCACTACGACATCGTCTAAATTTTCTTAGGGCTTTCCTGCTTTCTGTCCTCGCTTGTCTACAAGCTTTGTTCAATTTAGGTTTACTAGTTCCAGGATCAAAATGCTTCATTTGTCTTTTCATACTTGAAGCTGAATGAAGAAGACAATGTACAAAATCTGCAATGCCCTCTTCATGGGAATTTTCAAGTTTAGTTAATAAAGAATTATCATTGATATGCAGCATCTGTCTCAATGATGCAGTAAATAAGTCTATCTTCGATTTATCCCAGACAAATCTAAAGTCAGCGTCATGGTCATCATAATCTACAGTACGCTTAGCATGACTGCTTAAAGGAAACCTGCAAGATAACTCAAGGGGGAAATGGTCAGAGTCTAACCGATCACCAACATTTAGCATTTCTACAAACTCAAAAAAACTAACAGATGCAAGAAAATAATCAACAACACTAGAACCCCTTTCTCCTACATAAGTAAACTCGCCGCCTTTGTCACCTTCAACTCTCACGTTCAATATATACAGACGACAAACATAACACAAATCCAATAAAATGCGTCCAAATCTATTAATAGTAGAGTCATGTGACGCCCGCTGCTCGACAGGGGCATTGTCTTCTTCAATATATACATCATCATTACCAAAGTCTACACTTTGCTCAAGGATTGGATTATTTTCATTAGCTGTGCGAGCATTAAAATCCCCACAAAGTAATACATGTGATGACGTGAAATCAGTCCAATGATCCAGTATAAAAGCCTCAAGTTTATCAATAAGGCAACCAGAATTATTATTTCTGTTGTAAAATGTAGAGCCTACAGGCGGAACATACATACACAACAACATGAAATCATTAATTAAACTAAATGTAGCTTTGGGAAATTTTAGACATATCAAATTGTCTATCTGTGTGTTAAGTTGAAAGCACTGGTTCACAATTTCTTGTCTCACACAAACACACACACCACCAGAACATCTACCTGATGAAGATAGTTTCACTGCTGGGGCAAAGTGTGTCTGATATCCAGGTAGCCAGTACAAGTTCGCAAAATCAGTGATAAATGTCTCCGTTAAACACACAATATCAAATGACTTGAGATAAGCTATACAGTCAAGGTCATCAAACTTTTTACACAAGCCACTAATGTTCCATGATAATACTGACAGTTTATTGTTACCGGTGCGCGAGTAGTTTCCATCCTGTGAGAGAGGATCCTGGGCCTGGCCGCACTGCTATCTCCTGTTATGAATGTCACTTCGCCTCGTTTGTCGATTGGTTTTCGCCGATCTTCCCGTGTCTTGGGGTTGCGCATCATTACGTGGTTTAGTCATCAGCTTACCATTTTTTAAAGTAACCGATCAATCCCTGGGCTCTAGCATCCTTAAGTTGTTGGTGTTGTCTGGCGGTTAAATCATTGGAGACGCCATAGCCGTTACTCTTGAGTGTTGCTCGTGATTTCAGAACCTCGATCTTGTCATCAGAGAGGCGTAGTTTAGCGATGAGCGGTCTCGGTTTAGAGATGTCAACACGTTGGGGGCCGAGTCGATGTGATCGTATGACGTCATCGCAATCCAGGTCTTAGTCTTTACATTATTGTTCAAAATGTTAAGTACTTTGAACTTACAATCGTTGTGCGACTCCCCTGCAACGTTGTATAGAATAATGTTGTCACGTCTGCTGAAGGCTTCTAGTTTGTCGATCTCGCTGTCGAACTGTGATATTTTCTCCTCTACTTTTTCCATCTGGACGGAGATCAAGGAGACGTCCTCATACATTATGTCCTGATTGTGACGCACATTTTCCAGATCACTATGGAGGTTTGACAGCTTTGTTTCGAGATCTGTAAACCTGCTGCTTAAATCGCGCACTTCTCTCGAGAGTGAGCTGATCTGGCCTCCAAGCTCCTGCTTCACGTTCTGTACCTCTTTCAGTATGGTGTCCCTAACGTCGTCTAGGGTCACTCGTCCAGGGTTCATTTCTACGTCGTTAGCCCACAGAATCCGATGTGTTATAACCCCAGCCGGCACGGGATTACCTCCTAATAGACAGGCGTCGGGCGTACGTTGAGATTGAGCTACCCAAGCTGTACAATCAGCTTCAACAGGCATGACGTCAGTGGCATATACAAGTTCATAAACACGCTCTTTTGGTAAATATGAGCGAAAATCGATATTTTCACATGTGATCATAACAGCATAACAGTGCAGTGCAGTGAAAACATCATTGCACACAAAACAAGTCTGAAATGCACATCAGTCCCAACGACAGTAGGTGAATACTCGCCATGTTTGTCGAGCGTTACTTGCCGGGTGCCCTTGGGTTGAGAGAAGAGTCCAATTCTTGCTCTATATACGCCAATCGACACCATTTCTTCTTTTGAAAAGGTCACTTTTAGTATCACACACACGTTTTACACCACCTATGATGTCATAAGTGTGGATTATCACAAGTAAATCGATATATAGTCATTTTTTCCCGAGAGCGACAACAAATCAGTTAAATCAGTCAGTGTACACATTGCCTGATTGTAGACATTGACTGTAATATATACATTTAGAAATATAAAGATCGTTTGAAATCATATTTGACAATTTGATGGTGTTCATTTCAACTATTGAGTATTTTAAACTCATAATAACACTAAGATAAGTCTAAAATTATGTCTATTTTTAAAATATTTATTGTATATTGTACAAGAATACTGGTTAACGTCAGCATTAAAATTATATTACGATAGCCCCTATTTTGGTATTGGTGGCTCTTATATACTCCCCATAAAAAGTTTAGACTCACTAGAATCACTCACTATATGTTATGAATATATATGGTTACATCTGAGATGAATTTCTCCACTAACTGGGGGGAACCAACTGCAAAATTTATGTTGATGAATTGCACAGGTTATCATCGATCAAATTGCTGAAAAGCATGTGCAAATATCGCGCATGTGAACAGCTGCGTTTTGGTGTAAAGTTTTGTTAAGAATTCGCCATTTTTCACTGAGTTTCATCATTTATTAAACTCATGACAATAATCTTTTCAACGTTACGAATTCGTTTTACAATACATCAGCTCATGTGAAAACAGTACCTTCAAACAGTATGGAATATTATGCAAAATCTAGTTTAGAACAGTTGACTGAAGTAAGTGGCTACATTACACTAGTTAGTCTAAACTATTCATGGGTAGTATATAACGCTTGAATGCTGACCAAGAAATACACATTGCACATTGACGTTTAGGCAAGTCTGGTTACAATAAATACCATGAACAAACAAAATAATTCATGAAACCAATGGGATGATGTAAACTGATTTAACATGTAACTGAAATACGGTGTATGAATGTGAAACAAATACATGGTGTATGCCATGAAACGGATTACAGTGTTTTAGTAAGTACAATTAATAGTTCATTTCGGAGTCCTATCCGGGATTCGAACCTAACAGAGTGAGGCAATTGGTGCTGGCCATTAGGTGTTTCTCTATGAGATCTTCGCTTTGATCCCGGATGCTTCTCCATCCAAAGTATTCCTAGTATTTGTACTTTATTGAGAAAGTGTAATTCCAAAAATAACTCACGGGCGAAAGAAACGTCACCTCGCTTTCTTAACATGTCACAAAACAACAAACTCAGATTTTGAAAATTTAACAATTATCTTTGGAAAATTAATGGATCTACAACATTCTGAATGATGAAAGTGTGAACTATAGATATGAATAATCACTTAGTGTACGATAAAAGATATACAAAAATCATTTTGGTGACGTTTCTTTCGCCCGTGAGTTTATGTTAACCTAATAAAGTTAATCAATGATTCAACCAGAGACAGACATATCAGATTTCAAATAAAGATATATCAAAATATTCCGTTTCAGAAAATACTGACAAGTAACGAAGGCCTTCTCTCCATGTTAGTCTTTTAAAGATCCCAAAGAGAAAGGTCGTTGTGCCCTAGCAACTTAAATGTTCATTTGAGACCAGGATAAACCAGACATTTGAGTGTCCCCAGTAGACCCGAAGATGACTGCCAGTTGTCACATGATAGGCCAGACTGTTACGTGTGTGAAGGTGGAGTTGGCAAAGCAGCTGAAAGACATTCGTACATTTAACAGCTGTACCAGTCTACAGTGGGAGTCGTCGGTATCCACTGTGTAACAGTATATCCCCTTCTGTCTTTATGCAGTATTTGTTCTATCGTGATTAAACAGTGTTTATCCCAGTATCCCGGTTTTACCTTCTAGTCTGCTATTTCACAATCCATCCAGCACTGACATAAGCCATAAGAAAAGATTGTTGCATACATTTAAAACAGCTTTCCTAAAGTTTGAGGAAACATCACAGTGAACTGATAAAATATTTTATAAAAAGGACTGAATTGAGTTTAAACGATACGGCTCTAACGTGGAAAATGTTCTCAAATATTCCCAGCAAACAAAAGGTCGACGTTTTTATATTGTCTGGCAAAAGAAAGTAAACATTTAAAAACTGGATCTGCCTCCCAAAAGGTTACAAACGTCTTCAAACCGTCACTAGGCTGCAACAAAACAACGAAACAATGCAAAATGAAGGTCGTTTGAGTGAGTTTAGTTTAACGCCGCTTTTAGCAATATTCCAGCAATATCACGGCGGGGGACACCAAAAATGGGCTTCACACACTGTACCCATGTGGGGAATCGAACCCGGGTCATCAGCGTGACGAGCGAACGCTTTAACCACTAGGCTACCTCACCGTCCCAAATGAAGGTGGAAATATAATATGACACCCGCATCAAGTAAATCGCCATCAAATCGAAGTAAACATTAGAAAACGGGATTTTGCTAAAACATAACCGTTACAAACGTCATGACACCGTAACTTGGCTGAAACAGAAGATGGGACAGTTCCATTCAACCATGCTCAAATATCTAGAAGCACATGCACTTATCAACAACATTTCAATATCCCATATATTGCAAGTTGACACAAATCATACTTTTCGCGTAGTGTTAACACGACCACGTCAGAAAGTCCCACCACGCTTCTCAACCCGAGACATCTTCAACGACTCTGTAGGCGACATGTGGAACCGATTTGTACGGAAGTCAGCAGTGACCATGCCTCCCGAGACTTTGAAGGTAGCCGATGGGAGACCTTCCTTGAAGGCCTGCTCCAGCAGCATGTTGGTCACTGAGGGGAAGGCCTTGAGTTCCCCTCCCGGAGTGGTCATGTACCACCACTGGACGTTGGTTTGAATCGTTTCGGCTCGTTCCCGTGTCTGGTGCTTCGTATTTAGACCTTGGACATATTCCTGAGTCTTCCTCTTCGCTGCCATGACGTCTTCTCTGGAGCCGTGGAAGTGGACTATCCCGTTGCTCTTGTCTACCTGCGCCAGCACGTGCAGATCCGCGCTGAGGGAGGTCACGCGTGGCACCTAAAACAATTAGCAATTGCATGGTGCAGAAAAACGATCATGACGAAACTTGGATTCGAACCTAAGGTTACGGTGAGTGAGTGGGCTTGGTTTAACACCTCTTGTTAAGAGTATTCCATTTGTATCATGGGTGTTATCTTCATGTGGGAGTAGCCTAGTGGTTAAAGTGTTAGGTCGTCACACCAAAGACCCGGGTTCGATTCCCCACATTGGGTTCATCATGTAGACCCCATTTTTGTGTCTCCCGTCGTAATTATGCATGAATATTGCTAAAAGCGACGTAAAAATATACTCATTCACTCACTCACTCACAAGACCTCGGTCAAGCTGCACACAATCCAAGAAACAAAACAAGCGCATGAACTAAATAGTTTTACGCCGCTTGTAGCAATATTCTAGCAATATCACGGCGGGGGACACGGGAAATGGGCTTCATACATTTATACCCATGTGGAGAATCGAACCCGGGCCTTCGGCGTGACGAGCGAACGCTGTAACAACTAGGCTACCCCACTGCCCTTAAATATTTGAAGGGATGGATACTAAGGTACGCCTCAGCTCACCTTGTCGTCAGGAAGAGTTTCAATGGCCGAACCTGTCTGTATATCTGACACAACATTGTTCAGCAAGATGACGGAGACAGTGTCCATGCAGTTTTCAAGGTGCTCTTTGGTCACGGCCAATAGACGCAGTCGCGGCAGTGGAAGCAGGCACGGATCATCGGACCTCATGGACTTACTTTGGTATCTTTGTGGTTTGGAGCCTACGAACAAAATAACGAAAAATCAAATGAACCAATTCTGAGAACACAACATAGAGTTTGTGAATGAGTTGGGTTTTACACAGCATTTAACAATAGTCCAGCAATATCACGGTGGGGGGACACCAGAAATGGGTTTCACACATTCTAACCATGTGGAGTTTCCAACCCGTAGCCGATACCTCAGACACCATATATAACAAAGAGCCATGCTTATATTAAGTGGGCGTACGTGAAGGGAACCCCTCAACAACCTCCACCCATTTATTCCACCTCAAACATTAGATATAACAAAAAAGCATGCTTATATTAAGTGAACGCACGTGAAAGCAACACCTTAACAACCTCCGTCCCTCCACCCATTTACACCAAACGATCAACTTAGACATTAAATATAACAAAGTGTCATACTTATATTAAGTGGGCGTACGTGAAAGCAACACCTGCACAACCTCGATCCCTCCATCCATTTACACCAAACGATCAACTTTACACCAAACGATCAACTTGGATATTAAATATAACAAAGAGTCATGCTTATATTAAGTTGGCGTACGTGAAAGCAACACCTGCACAACCTCCATCCCTCCATCCATCTATCAAACACAAATGATGAAAAAGAAGATGGTTATATCAAATGGACGTACGTGAAGACAACTCATCTTCATGAGACAGCACAAAAGATTTTCTCATAGCTGGGCGACCAACGTTCTGTCGGAAAATGGAATCAAATGTGGACTTTTGTTCTGTGTTGTTGAGGAGGATCCGAACATCACTAAGGACCTTCAGGTTAGTCTTGTATCGCTTGATGGCCCTCTCCATGCCAGTGGCGAATACCTTAGCGTCGTCGTCTTGCTCTGTAAGAACAATTAGTGTTTATTATTCTATAAAACATTAGGTTGAAGACATGGAATGTTTTCTAATAAATTAGCACGGTTGAAAGCACGCATACTATTGTTAGGTCCTCATACTCTTTGTCATACGCTTTGACTATGTCGCCAAAGCCATTGTCAAATAACCCTTGACGATCCGGGTTAGAATTGATCTTCAATAACCCATGCTTGTCGTGAGAGGCGACCAACGGGATTGGGTGGTCAGGCTCGTGGACTTGGTTGGCACATGTCATGACACATGACACACCAACAGCGTAGATCATGCTGTTGATCACTGGATTGTCTGGTCCTGACTCAATTATTTACAGACCGCCGCCATATAGCTGGCGGCGGTAAACAAGAAAGAAACATTGTGATAGGTATAGCAATTGATTCTATGATTATATAGCTTGAATATTGCTGAGTGCGGCGTAAAACTAAACACTCACTCACTCACCCATTGTCAAATCCGTCTTCAATGAGTCGAAGATAAAGTTAGAAGTTGGAAGAACATGAATACACGAAACGCTTTATGTATAGCAACTTCTTTTTATTCTTTATAGAAGTTCATCATGTGATGAAGGAGCAAGAAATAGCTCTGAAACGTCGTATTAAGAAGAAAAAGAAGTGGCTGTCCGTAAAATGTGTTATCTATTCGAGCCGAAGATATAATAATATCGTTCATAATTTCAAAGATAAGATCTGCATATGTTTCAAAACATATTTCTGGTGTAGTATCTGTTAGTAGTTTCTTCGTGTTTCGAACACTTCAGTTGGGCTGCAAATTAGAACTGAAGGTATTTCACTCATAAGCAAGTGTTCAAATAGTGCGTGGTGTGCACCCCCTTTCTCAAAAGAGTGTACACACACACACACACACACACACTCACATTTCTCAAAAAGCTGTATCCACCCCTGCCAACTGACCATTGCCTCGTACGATCAACTGATCCTAGTGTAGCCAGGAATCCCCAGATGGTTGTGTGAGTGCGTGTGACTTGCGTACATGCGTGCGTGCATGTGTGTCTGTGTGCACTAATATGCAAACGTTACAGGGAACTCGAATTGTCGATGCATATTGATGAACATGTTACCTGGAATAACGTGGCCAATTGCGAGTGACATGATTTTCTCCTTTTCTGCCTTTCTGAAGCACTTTTTGATCACCTCCTCTACATTGTTCTTGAAATGTTCCGCAGACACAAGCATGACGTTCGAGCAGGACATATTTTGAGCAGGAACGACGACAGCTCCGGATTTTGTGATATTTGCTCCTGGATTAGAAAACGTTGACAAACTGATGCTATACACCCAAATTATGAAATATTGTAAGATATACGAACTTTTATCTTTTGTAAAAAAAACATTGTGCCCTGACAACGAGACTGCGAGCACCGAGACAAATAATCACGTTCGCACTTTAGCATGAAGATAGAGATGTCGCGAAAGCAAGAATGTCCCTTACGATGTTCCGTACAAATCCAATTAACCCTATGTTCCCAGTGTTAGTGAGTATGGTTTTACGCCGCTTTTATCAATATTGCAGCATTATCACAGCGGGGGACACTAGAAATGGGCTTCACACATTGTACCCATATGGGGAATCGAACCCGGGTCTTCGGCATGACCGGAGAACGCTTTAACCACTAGGCTACCCCACGGCCCCTTTCCAGTGTTAACCGACATATGAACCTACATATCCAAATTTACGAATTATGTTTACAGACACTGTTAGGGGGTAAATCATACAATACATTACACTAACTTAACATCATGATAGCGTATATCTTTACGGGGAAAGTTTCCAGGCTTCGCAATATGGAAAAGAAAGAAGTATGTTGCACTCACTTACATTATATCAGCATATGATTCTTCATCTGCACATTAACTAACGGTATACAATAATACGCCAATGGTACCCACAGGCAATCATGTCTTTGCGATGATTGAAGATTTAACAAAAGGATTTTGAGATGACCCCCGACTCGAAATGCTTCACAGTACAATGCGTCATGATTTTTTCTAATATGAAGCATTTCGAGTACGGGGTCATCTCAAATTTCTACATAAAAATTAAAAAATCTGTATTTCTCGCAAAGACACGATGGCCTGTGATTGTACCATTCAGTTCTAAATAGATCTTTTCTCCTAATGAAAATATAGAGTTTGGAGTCTAAGTCATTATTTGAACTCTAAAGGCGATACAATGGCAGAGAGAACTTACGGTCACTTCCAACCATACAGTCAGGCCCATACTCGGACTTCAGAAATGCCACTTGGCCTGAAACAAAAAGACAAACTGTCCTTTATATACATTAGTAGATAAAAACGGCTAAGAGAAATGAAACATATATATAACATACAGGACCGCTAGGGGTTAAGCCAGAACGTCGTAAGGGCCTGAGTGGGTGTGATGGGTTAGGTGATGCGATATGGGCTTTAACGTAGCACTTAAGATTATTTCGCTCATATGACAACATGTATGGGTGTGTATGTGTGGCTGCTTGTACTAGCCCAGACCTGAGCTTGATTTCTAGTGCTAGCTCACCTAGATAAGTTTTTATTTGTCTACTACTGGTTGTATGAGAGAGGCTGGTTTGTTGGTTGGTTAACGCCGGACTCAAAAATATTATATTGCGGTGGTCTTAGAAAGCTACGGTAAAGTTATTAATATGCAATCGTTACAATTTACAGTAATTCCGTATTTCCTCTAATAAGCGCCGGTTATCTCACAGTGTCGTGCTGGGAAGGCTAAAATATATATATTTCGGATGTCCCGGGAGAACTCCGGTGAAAACATTAGTGCCCGGGCGCTAAGTAGAGTAAATACGGTAGATAGTTTTTAACACTGCTGTGAACAGCCTTCAGACACATAGACATGACGTGTCAGCTTAATGTGGGAGAAAAGCCTAGTGTGTTGCAGTTCTCCGACGTTTACGAAGATTCGAACCCAAGATCGCATAGGTTTGAGATTATATATGTTGGTTGGTTGGTTGGTTGTTGTTTAACGCCGCACTCAGCAGTATTCCAGCTGTATGACGGCGGTCTGTAAATAATCGAGTCTGGACCAGACAATCTAGTGATCAACAGCAGTAGCAAAGATTTAGCAAAGTAGCAAAGTAGCAAATATTTTATGGCGGCTGTCTCTAAATAATCGAGTCTGGATCAGACAATATGTTTTTTATTATATTATTTATACTCTCATTGGAAAAAGTCTGTTAACATGAAATTCTTCTGCCTCTGTAAATTTCCACGTAATACAATGTTGTCAGTCATTAGCAATTCGGAGCAGAAGTAACGGAAATGTTTATTCAACGGACTGTTATTTTAGTCACCTGCGACCGGATTAAAAGCATTGTTCTCATAGCAAGTTGATTGTTGGGACTGTTATTTTAGTCAGCTACAACCGGATTACAAAAACATTGGTGTCATAGCAAGTTGATTGTCGGGACTGTTATTTTAGTCAGCTACAACCGGATTACAAAGAATTGTTCTCATAGCAAGTTGATTGTTGGGACTGTTATTTTAGTCAGCTACAACCGGATTACAAAGAATTGTTCTCATAGCAAGTTGATTGTTGGGACTGTTATTTTAGTCAGCTACAACCGGATTACAAACAATTATTCTCATAGCAAGTTGATTGTCGGGACTGTTATTTTAGTCAGCTACAACCGGATTACAAAGAATTGTTCTCATAGCAAGTTGATTGTCGGGATTGTTATTTTAGTCAGCTACAACCGGATTACAAAGAATTATTCTCATAGCAAGTTGATTGTCGGGGCTGTTATTTTAGTCTGTAATCCGCAATTGAGAGAGTCCGGATAAAGCACTCTTTAATGATAAATTAAAAACAATTTTGCCGGGACTCAGAGAGTAGTCCGGATTATGGAGAGAAGCGGATTACACAGAATCCGGATTTGACAGATTCCACTGTACTATGTCTAAAGTCCCCGTGATATTGCTGGAGCATTTCTGAAAACAGGAAAACCCGTGAAGATCCTGGTTAGAAAGGGTCTTCAGTAACTTGTAAGAGCCGACTAACGTGATCGGGTGGTCAGGCTCGCTGACTTGTTTGACACATATCATCGTATCCCAGTTGCGTAGATTGATGCTCATGCTGTTGATCACTGTATTGTCTGGTCCAGACTTGATCATTTACAGACCGCCGCCAGACAGTGCTGGAATATTGCTGAGTGCGGCGCAAAACAACACAGACCAAACAAAAAACAACCACAACCAAAACAGGAAAAAACGTATTCATTTACTCTTCACTCATCTTTGCGAACTTCACTTACCACGCAGTGACACCTTGTTGTCAGTTGGCACCACGATTGTGTTCACTTTTTCCGTGTGCAGAGTTCCTACTTTCACCTCAATCCTGAGGGGGTCAATCCAAAATTCTACAAGACGAAAAACTTCGGTCATAGTAACCGTTTGTGTCATATGTCAATAGTTTGCATATAAACGGAAACAAAAAAGTACAAACTATTGCATTTGCCCGACTACAGTTACATCTTTACTGAACCTGGGTCCCACAAAGTGTTCGTAACGTTACGACCTGTCGTAACTATAGTTTAATCGTAGGCTTAGGAATGTTGCCAAGCTACGGACGCCTTGTGGAGCGGGACCTAAGTCTGTACAATCACACTGCAGATAACAAATATTTACAGGCATATTTATCAGTTGAAGCTGGTTTGATAACCAGGTGTTAATCTTTGTGGTGACTTGGTACCTTCACTGTTCGTCCTATCAATGGTCGTTGGTTCTCTGATCATACTCGGGTCGCTGTCGAACGCTTCATTGAAAGCCTGTAAAATAAACGTTAAACATAAGTGAGTATGGTATTACGCCGCTGTTAGCAATATTCCAGCAATATCAGGGTGGGGGACACCAGAAATGGGCTTCACACATTGTACCCATGTGGAGAATCGAACCTAGTTTTCAGTGAGACGAGGAAACGCTTTAACCTTCAGGCTACCCCACCGCCCCTATAAACATTAACTCCATTATACATTTAAGTGACGTCGGTGCAGGTTTCGGGGTTCCAATCCACATAGCGTTCGTAGCACTACGTCATTCGTAATCCTATGATAAACTGTATAGTTACGATAGCTCGTGACGCTAGGAACGCTTGGATCGGGAACCAGATGCTGTTACTATCCGCTGTTACTATCCGCTGTGAACCTGACTTGAGGTGACATTTGCGATTACATTGTCATTGCGTTAAAATCACAGCGTCCATTTATGTGTCAGATCTATCTAATCCTCAAACATCATGACAGAAAATGTTACTATAATACATCGTTACCAAAGCAGAATGTTCTTTTACTTTCCGAATGGTAGCCTATAGGCTTCCCGCGAGACAGTAAGGTCGAAGCTGTACAGTGTCATCATAGTTTTCTCATTCCGAAAATGACTTTGAGACTGTCGAAACATACAGTAATTTATCCTTTGACATTGAAAGTTATGTGAGTTTTTTATTTTTTTATTTTTCATTTTGCAACTTAATTCTTTGTGAACAAATTGTATTATCTTTCCAACCTAATATAGAAACTCCACTTGTCTCGAAAGAGGGGTAATTCGACACTGCAAGTTTATGATCCCCAGGGCTGTAGGAGTATATGTGTATCACTGCCCTGCTTATCTCGAACTACGAATTATAGTTATAATGGCCCAAGAACGACGATTTGACCAGCTTTGGCTGTATCACTGTTTCACAAACCTTTGTTGTTTTCTCATCCTTGTGATACAATACAATGATCACTTCCCTCAGACACGTCAGTGGGTTATCTGTGGAGAAAGCGGCTATTCTCTCTTTGAACACCCGGGCTACTGTCTCGGGTGGGTACTGTAGTATGCCGGTCCCGAGGGCCGGGAAAGCGATGGTCCCGTAGCCTCTGGAAGGTGCTCGTTGTAAACACGCGTCCACAGTCTTTATCAAAAGCTGAAAGCAGAGGTTTAAAGCAACTGTTATGTTTCTACTAAGAATAATACTCTCCATTGGTGATTTCTTAGATCTTAATCAAATTCTTTCTTGATATTAAACAAATACAATCTCCTAAATCTTTCACAAATAAAATCTCACACAACCCAGGTATTAATTTGCCTATGATCCAAATTCTGGAAGCAGATTCTATCAAATTATGCACTGTAGACTTCGATTAGGATGTAGTGATCTAAACTCGCACAAAGTTAATCGTTTTATATCTAATGACCCATCTTGGTCCTGTGGTGCATTTTGTGAAGATAATTTACACTATTTCCTCTAGTGTCCAAATTATGACAATTTAAGAAATGATATGCATTTTCATAGAAATGGATACAATCTCAAATCGGTACTATGTGGAAATATTCAATCATCGGAAGTTGAAAATTTGCACATTGTTAAATCTGTTCATTGTTTTATCGAAAAATCTTGTCGATTTAAGTTTAAGAAGTAATGTACTGAAACACAATGTAATACATAACTGTAAACCTACTGTAAATAAATTTATTTCATTCATCAGATTCAATGTCACTTAATTATTTACTGTTGAACTGTCATACATATGTACATAATCAATGCTGTTGTATTGGGGCGGCATTAGGATAAGCCTTTGGCTTGTTTGCCAATCATTTTCATTACTCATGATGAAAAAAATTTGTTTAAATCATTTCAAAGATCTTTCTATTTTTACCGTGAGTACAGACTACACTGGCGTGTTTTGATTGTGACCCGTGTTAAAAATGAAAGAAACTTTCAGTAATAAACAAGTTTCGAAGTGAAAGGATATTGATAACCACAGTGACTGCTCAGTAGACAGATGTTCTGGGATACTGATTAGATCCTCAGTGGTTACATAAGAAAAAGAGTAATTTGTTAGCATCCTAATCAGATATCGGAACCCGCGTCTAAACACTGATTCCATCGGTGTATCCAAGTTCTTAAAGAATACTGAATATGAAGTGCACGTTTATATGTTTGAAAGCATGTATACTGACGTCCGCTTGCTGCGAAATAGTAACAAGGAAATGCAAAATAAATATACATCTAAAAATAAATATATGGCATGAAAGTTGTTTCTATTTGTCCATACCAACTCGTCACCACAATCTCAGACATTGCCATGAAGTATAAACAATCCTTCAACAGTCGCAAAGATACCAACTTCAGAATTGCAAGTTCTTGTTGACAATTGACCATATTTTCGACTTAAGACCTTTGAGATGGTTGAAATGGTGGACTCTTTTCTGTAATAAGTGCTCCATTTTCCCTTCAGAAAGGTCCGCCAATTATTGTGTGTGGAGTTGTTGTTTTTTTTAAACTGTAAAAAGAGTCCTCCCCATCCAATTTGCAATAATCATAAACGTAAAATGTAATCATTTTCAACTCATCTTTGAATTTCTGTATTGTACTGTATAGTAACGAGATATAGAGCACATACCGTTGTCTGCATTATAATTATCCGAAAAGCAATAATACGGGCATCTCTAACCATAGGTTAAGTAATGTCAACGTCTAATTATGGTGTCGACAAATAAATATCTTTCATACAACTTGTTGCTATTCGGACACGGACACACACGCACGCACGCACGCACGCACGCACGCACGCACGCACGCACGCACGCACACATATATACATCATCGTTACGATGTTACAGCAAACGGCCTGTTGACTACATCAGGTCATTACTGAGGGCCCACCTGTAAAGCATTGCTTGAATCCTGCCACTTTGGGAGGCATGTGTGGTACACCTTCTTGCAGCGTAGATTACCTCCCCCTGTGTCCACGACATCGCCGAATTTGATGCCCTTGCGGTAACGGCTGTTGCACTCGTTCTGTATGGTAGTGCCCCCTTCTGTAGATATCGCCATGGAAACCGCTCCCTGGCTGAGTCTCAAGTCCTTGTTGGTCGTGTTCACTATGACATCTGCCTGTTCCATGAGAATACAGTACTCAGTTGCTATGCATAGTCTGTCTCGAAGCCCGTGAGTAAAATCGGTGGTCAGGCTCGTTGACACATGTCATCGTATCCCAATTATGCAGATCAATGCTCATGCTGTTGATCACTGGATTGCCTGGTGACTAGATTATTTTCGGGTCAACCAAGTCAGCAGGCCTGACCACCCGATCCCGTTAGTCGCCTCTAAGGACAAGCATGGATTACTAAAGACAATTCTAACCCGGATCTTCACGGGTACTTTCACTCAGACATTAATTTTCGTGAAGGGATGCCTGAATCAGTCAGTATGCATTGACATTAAATCCTTATTGTTCTGTAGGGCGGAGAGGTAGCAGAGTGGTTAAAGCGTTCGCTCGTCACGACGAAGACCAGGGTTCGATTCCCCACATGGGTACAATGTGT